ATGATTTAATTTTTTTCTCCATTTCTTCTGATAAAGACACAACAAAGAAAGAAAACTGCAGGCCAATATCTGATAACATAGATACTAAAATCCTCAACAAAATGTTGGCCATTGGATCCAGAAATACATTAAAAACATCATACAGTGACCAGAGGAGAGGGGGGAAGGAGATAATGGTGGAAAGAAGGGAAAAAGATTAGTCAAAGAACATGTATGGATGACCCATCAACATGGACAACAGTGTGGGGATTGATGTTGGGAGCAGTGGGGCAGGTTGGGCAGAGGAGGGCAAAGAGAGAAAAAATTGGGACAACTATAGTAGAATAACAATTAAGAAACAAAACAAACAAAACAAAAAAATCATATACCATGATCAAATGGGATTTATCCCAGGGATGCAAGGATGGTACAATATTTGCAAATCAATAAACATAATACATCACAGACAAAATAAAGAAGAAAAATTACATGAGCACATCAATAGATGCTGAAAAAGCATTTGATGAAACGCAGAACACATTTATGATAAAAACAATCACCCAAGTGGCAAGAGAGGGAGCATACCTCAATATAACAAAGGCTATATATGAGAAACCTACTGCCAGCATGATACTCAATGGGCAAAAACTGAAAGCATTTCCCTCAAGATAAGGAACAAAATGGGGTGCTGCTTTCACCACTCTTATTCAACTTAGTACCAGAAGTTCTAGCCACAGTGATTAGATAAGATATAAAAAGTATCCAAATTGGACAGGAGGAAGTACAACTGTCATTATTTTCAGATGACATTATAGTATATATAGAAAACGCTATAGTATCCACCAAAAAATTACTCTACCTAACAAGTGAAATCAGCAAAGTAAAGAGATACAAAATCAATATATAGAAACTGATGGCATTTTTGTATACCAACAATGAATAATCAGAAAGGGAAACTAAAAAGAAATACCATTTACTGTAACAACAAGAAAAATAAAGCACCTAGGAATAAATTTAACCAAGGATGTAAAAGACCTGTACTCGGAAAACTATAGGACACTGAAGAAAGAAATTGAGGAAGATACATATAATTGGACGCATATACCAAGTTCATGGTTTCGAAGAATATCTTTAAAATGTCCATACTACCCAAAGCAATCTACAGATTCAGTGCAACCCCTATTAAAATATCACTGGCATATTTCACAGATCTAGAACAAATATTTTAAAAATTTATATGGAACCAAAAAAGACTCTGAATAGACTCTGCAATCCTGAGAAAGAACAACAAAGTTGGAGGGATCACAATACCTGATATCAAATTGTACTATAAGGCCACTGTAATCAAAAGTCCGGTATGGCATAAGAATAGACACACAGACCAATGGAATGGAATAGAGAATCCAAAATTAACTTGTGTTTCTATGGTCAATTAATATTCGACAAAGGGGACACAAGCACACAGTGGAGTAAAAACAGTCTCTTCAACAAATGGTGCTGGGAAAATTAGATGGCACATGCAAAAAAATGAAACTAGACCACCAACTTATACCATAAACTCAAAATGGATAAAAGACTTAAATATAAGTCATGATACCATAAAAGTCCTAGTGGAAAACATAGGCAGCAAAATTTCAGATATCCTACGTAGCAATATTTTTGCCATTATATCTCCTTGGGCAACGGAAATAAAGGAAAAGTAAACAAATGGGGCTATTATCAAATCAAAAAGCCTCTGCACAGCTAAGGAAACCATCATGAAAAAGAAAAGGGAACTGACTGTATGGGAGAACATATCTGGCAATAATACATTGGTCAACGGTTTAATCTCCAAAATATAAAAAGAACTCATAGGACTCAACTCCAGGAAAAAAGCAATGCAATTAAAAATGGGCAAAGGACATGAATACACAAATCACCAAGGGGGACATACAGATGGCCTAAAGACATAGGAAAAAGTGCTCAACACCACTAGCCATCAGAGAGACATAAATTAAAATCATAATGAGATATCACCTCACACCAGTCAGAAAGGCCATCATTAATAAATCAACAAACAATTGCTGGCAAGGACGTGGAGAAAAGGGAACCCCACTGCACTGTTGGTGGGAATGCAGACTGGTATAGCCACTGTGGAAAACAGTATGAAATTTCTTAAAAATTAAAAATGGAACTGCCTTTTGACCCAGCAACTCCACTGCTGGGAATATACCCTAACAGTCCTGAAATACCAATTCAAAAGAACTTATGCACCTCTAAGTTCATAGCAGCGCTATTTACAATAGTCAAGTGTTTGAAACAGCCTAAGTGCCCATCAATAGATGAGTAGATAAAAAAACTGTGGTATATTTACAAAACAGAATACACTATATAACAGGAAAAAGAAAGGAATTCCTAACTTTTGCAACAGCTGGGATGGAACTGGGAACTGGAGACTATTATACTAAGTGAAATAAGCCAGTTGGTGAAAGACAAACACCATATTGTTCCACTTATAACTGGAATCTAATGAGTAAAGTAAATTAATGAGAAAAATAGAACCAGAGACATGGAAACATGAACAGACTGACAGCTGTAAGAAGGGAGGTGTGAGTGGGGTAATGGTGGAAGGAAGGGGAAGGAATTAGTCAAAGAATATACATGAGTGACCCATGGACATGGACAATAGAATGGAGACTGACTCAGGGAGTGTGAGGTAGGGTGAGTGGAGGGGACAAAAGGTAAAAAAAAAGTGGGACAACTGTAAACAGAATAAACAGTTTAAAAATTAAAAATAAAATAAAATCTTAAAAAGCATGAATAGCCCTGGCTGGTGTAGCTGAGTAGATTGAACACAGACTGCAAACCAAAGGGTTCAATTCCCAGTCAGGGCATGGGCCTGGGTTGCAGGCCAGGTCACCACTGGGGGCCATGTGAGAGGCAACCACACGATGTTTCTCTCCCTCTTTCTCCCTCCCTTCCTCTCTCTCTAAAAATAAATACATAAAATCTTTTTAAAAAAGAATTTCTTTAAAAAAATGTATGTATATACTTGCTTCCTTTTATGTTCCTTTTTTGTATTGGTGCATCATCAATTTTTATTTATTTATTTTTTTACTTTTTTAGCTTTATTTTTATCATTCACACTATTACAGATGCCCCCCGTTTTTTCCTCTTTGCCCCCTTTTGTTCTTACAACTACTGGATGTTAACAAATGTTTTAGCTACTGCCAACCTCATAAATGAAAAATGACCTTTTAATCTTAAAATTCCATTTTAAAGCATTAGTGAGTTTGATCAACTTCTTATATACAGGGTAGAGCAACAGATTTACAGTTGTCTGTGTGAAAAGTAATACAATAATTGATAAATAATAATGTAAGAATAAACTCTGTTTTGCATACTCAATACTGTAAACCTTCTTTTGCCTATGTTTTTATCGACCATTGTATATTTTATGTTGTGAGACAGACTTAATTTAAGTCCATAGAGAAATTTTGCATGTGATACAACTGGCTTTTCATATCAGGGAAAGAAATGATGACTTATTCAATTAATGGTGTTGATAGATACTCTATCAATACAATATTTGTTGATTCTCTATCAATACTAATTGTGACTGTTGGGGTGGATGTAAGTTTGGATTCTTATTCCTTAAACTAAAATTCCACATAGCTCAAAGATGTAAATGTGAATGTTAAACCATAGAAACACTAATACAAGTTTCAGACATCTAGATTTAGATCTGAAAACATGCTTCAACCGCAGGAGGAGACACTGGCAGAGAAGGGTCAGGAAAATATTTAAAAGAAGACTGTTAGAGGGACAGGGTACACGAACATCTCAGTGTAAATTCTCATACAAAGTTAGAGCTTATACGTGGATCATGTTAACTTATCCTCTACGATACAATGCTTTAATACACTGTTTTTATTAAGGTCTCTCCTAAAAAACTGACACATAGAGGAACTTCTGTATTGTCAAATTATTGCTGAAAATACTGTATCATTTGATATTCCCTAGAATAGATTCCATATGATAAACTCCTTCTAGAATTTAGTAGCAGGACAGAGTCTAATTCTTTGGAACCTGTCTCTTAAATAACACAAAATATGCTACTTTGGTCTTTATTTTTGCCTTAGTGACCAGGAAACTCAGATCTAAATTTAATGTTTTATTAATTAACAAATTTGTTTCCTCTTTCCCTTTAATACCATGTTTTTATTTTCCAGTATTTTACTGTATATGTATATATTAATGATACCATAATTAAAATCCATTTTGGAAGCAGTCATGATAAAATAAAATTCAAGATTCCTTTTCACAATGAGGGTTCTGAGCTTCATCTTCCTTACTGCTAGTAATAGGAACACATATATTAGGGAACTAATATTCTACTGGGCCTAGTAGGGAGCAAGTGGAATCGGACTATTACATGTAAGTTATGAAGGAAAAGCGTAGAAGCAAATATATTTTGGTGACCAGGGTCTTACTTCTGCCACAATTAACTATAACACCAACACCCGAACTGCAGCTAGGGGGGGAATAATGGAGATTTAAATTTCCTTACGTTCAAAAGGACTGTGCCTCCCTAGAAACACCTTCCTGCTGAGAAGTGAGCAGCAATTCAGAAGAACTTGCCTGCTGCTTCCGCTTACTCTATCTCCTCACTTCACTACTGTTTTGGTGACATCTTAGACATCTACAGTCTGGCTATGCATAAAGAACTTCGACAGAAGATGCTGTGAAGAACTGAATTTGAATCATCACAACTGTCAAAAAGAAGAAAACTCCAGTTACACACATCTAAATACTTTCCCCCTGAATGAGAATAGAAGAATTCTCTTATATTGATACATAATTACATAATACCCTGGATCATAAACTACGCTCTACTCCCTGCAAGAAAACCCATAATAATAAAAAAAAAACTTTGCTCTCAATAACATGTAATAGTTAGTTCCCTTGTTAATTAAAATGAAAGTTGTTACTTATTCTTAATCATTCCTTATAAAGGAATGTTATATATACCTAGATTTTACCTCTTTCAATATCATCCATCGAAGATGTTGGGGACATCTTGTCTTCGAATGGAGAATGTTTTACAAGATTGGGGGTCCTCATTAAGTTCCGCATTTGTTGCTGCTGATGCTCTACACGAGACTGCATTTTACTGCTTCCTTCAACCCTGAAATTAGAAACATTTATGTCAAAATGTTTTTTTTGGCAGAGATCAAAAGCAGGTCAAAATGGTTATGATGGCAATGTAACAACAATTTCAACTTACAAAGTTACTAAAATTAACCACTTATTCCTTCCCCTAGACATCTTTTAGTGGTATTCGAGAATTAAAACATTAATTTATTCCATTATTTAACAAATGTTTATGGATTCCTGCTATTTATGCATGGCATATATACACTTCCATTGAGGGGTACAAACATGAATAAAACCAAAATTACTGCTCAAAATTAGAGAGATAAAACTTACACAAATGGCCCTGGATCGGTTGGTTGGAGTGTGGTCCCATACAACCGAAAGGTTGCAGGTTTGATTCCTAGTCAGGGCTCAAAGGAGAAGGCAACCAACTGGTGTTTCTCTCTCACATCAATCGCTCTCTCTCTCCCCCCGCCACTCCCCCACACCACTCTCCTTTCCTATCTCTAAAAGCAATAAAAAATGTCCTTGGGCAAGGATAAAATAAAAACCTACACAAATGCCTAAAATAATATATACCTTACTGTATAGTAGGTACAAATGTATTCCCTAAATTATAAAATTATCATTTCTGTAAAACTAAATCACTTTCACATTTTTGATTCATTATGTTAAGGCACATTACTAAAGCTTTCTTTCTTTCCTTTCAATTCTTTTAAGAAGTCTATGTAATACAATTATGCTTGATTTCTGCCTCTCCTATTTCCAGTCACCAAATCCTGTCAGTTCTTCCTCAACAAAGTATTTAGCACCTCACTTTTCTCTTCATTCCCATTCTCAAAACTGTGGTTTATGCATTTTTGCTGCCCCTATAGTTTCATTACACTACTCAGTTTGGTGAATTAATGGTTCAAAACAAAAATATTTTTAATTAAAAAAATTTATTCCCTAGTTAAAAAAACTTCAATACTGTCTATGGAGCACTTAAGACAATGTTCTAAGTTCACAGGTAATATTGAAGGCATTAACTTCAATGTACCTTTATGACCTTACTTCTAAGCCACTATCCTCACTTCCCAATACTTATTTATATGTAGGCACAGAAACAAATCTCTGCTCTATTCAAACAAGTCTTATCCATTGCCCCAAATAATTCAAATATATATATATATATATATATACCTACCTTCAAACCTTGCTTACATCCTCATGTTCTTTCTGATCAAATTAAATCACTTGTTTTCAAACTTCCCTACCAATAAAAATCACCTGGAGGGAGAGGGTAATGAAAACTAGAGCTTCCCAGGCTGCTTCCTAATCTGAAATTTGATATGAGAACTCATTTTTATAAGCACTAAAGGTAATTCTTATCGAGTATGCTTGGGGAGGAAAAAGTCCTAAAGCTAACCTTCTCTCACGTTACATCAGTAAGGGTTCCCTGAATGCTCCAACCAACCACAACTTGTCCCTTTCTTTAATTCCTAGAGCAATTTTTGTCTATACTATTTGCATGGCTTTTTGTCTATACTATTTGCATGTCCCTTACATTACATGGTAATTAAGGCACTGCCTGGTCCCAAAAAAGGATATGAGATGGCTATATTCCCTTATTGACCTTCCTAATAAAACAATGTTAATCCAATCGAAATGCAGAAATTTCAATTACTTATACAGAAAACTTTCCTTTACATATTTTCTAGGTTTCAATAAACTCTTACTAATCAAGATGAAATTATTCGAAGAGCATATATGGCTCTTTTCAGTCCAGTTCCATATAAGCATCTACAGTGAACTAAGATATATGTATATACACACATAGAAAATATTCAGAACAAAACAAACTTTTACATATCAAAAAGAAAAATCCTACAAGCTTTTGGCTAAGGTTCTCCACCAAATTTAAACTTGGAAAAAGGTTAAAACATTTTTGTGCCACACAGCAATAACCCTTATATAATAATGTGATTTAATCAAATAATTTTTTCACTGACATTTCCTTAGCAATTTATGTGCTGATAAAATAATTTGTTTTGTTAGCCACATACCTTGTTTTTTTTACAGTGATGTTGCTACTGAGTTTTTCTAGTCGACATTCTCCAGTATCATGGTTAATTATCAAAATGCATTCTTTTAAGTAAGGTTTCTTTGAACCTTTGAAAACAGTTACTGGCGGAGTTGATCCCTGTTTAAAAAGTTAATTATCATTACTTAAAATTTATCATATTAGTTCAGTTGGGAGGGACTTTGAGATCTGTGTTTCTCAATGTATATTATACTTCAAGTCACCTAACAACCTAAATTTAATAAAAAGTCAGAGATCGAGAGAGGCTAGTTCTTAAAGCTCCCTTCCTTGAGGATAGGGCATAGAGGAAGGACTTTCCCTGAGACAGCAAAGATTTGTTTCATTTGCTTACAACTGGCAATTGGGATTCTATTCTAATACAACCAATATATTTTACAGATAAGGCAGTAGAAGCTGTGAATTATATTTCCTATCCCTCTTCTTCCTTCATTCATTTAGCTTTTTAAGTATTTTCTTAGAATGGTGCTCCCCTATGCAGACTAAGGAAAATGAATGTATCAAGGAATAACTGTTACGTTAAACCCAGAGATTAATTTTAGCATCCTTAAAAGTGGGACAACCAGACATTATATGCTTCATGATGTGACAAAAAAAAAAGTATGCAGCATCACCTATAAAGTATTCTTGCTAAAAACAAACAAAACAAAAAACCTCCACAAAGAATCTAACTCTCGTCGAGCCTTTAAATAAACCACCAGTTCATAGGAAATACAGGGAGTAAAGAGACAAGTTAAATAATACCAGGCACAAGTAATTTGAACCCAGAACATGAGTGTATTCTCTAAGACAAATAACTAGTTTTCTCTAACAAACTCATAGAATATAAAGGGGAAGGGGCTTTTTCAGAATAAGAGACTTAAGGAACATAATGTCAAAATATTATAGGAATCTTATTTGGGTTCCTAGGGGAAAACATTTTTGAGGCCATCATGAAAATGTGAGCATGGACCAGGTATTATAATTAATTCTGCTTCATGTGATAATAGCATGGTACTTAGGTTTTTAAAAAATCCTTGTCAGTTAGACATGCATACATTAGCACTTATGAAATGGCATAAAATTTGGGATTGTTTTAACTTACATTGGGAAAAAAGTGGTAAGAGACTATGTAAAAAATAGCAAAATAAGAATTATTGAAGCTTGATGATAAAGAGTATGGGGTTTTATTATTCTCTAATAAACAGTTGGAGAACCCAGATCATCACCGACAACCCACACACACCTACATGTTTCTCCTGCATCCTACGTCTGCATTCCTCAACCCTGAAGGGATTCTATGTTTATCATTCTCTAACTTTATTCCATATTTATGTATCCCTAAACAATAAAGTTTTACATTGCTAGTTTTTGAACTTTATAAAAATGCATTAAATTTTTAAAGTACTGATTATAATAATTTTGTCAAGTACAACAGTAATATTACATCAGGTTAGAAAAGGGTGACTTCTAAAAAGACTAAAAGGTATATCATATTTTAATATGTCATTTTAATTTCATTAGAGATTTAATATGTGACCATAAGGAGTAGTGCTATGAGATAAATTTGGTGATTAAGGATACCATAAATGGAGGTAGATTAGAGACTTCTGAGAGGTAGGAAGAGAAAAATGATAAAACCAAAAGAAAAGGCTTTTCACCTCATATCTAAGACTAAAATCATCTACAGAAAATCAGGCATGCATAGCACACAGACGAGGACCCGTTTGGAGTGGCTGGAGAAGAGTGAGATGTGGTGCCCTTGGGTGAAGCACTGGTGAAGAAGCATGGCTGTGACAAAATAAACTGGCCGACCTGAGTGTACGTATATTTTTCAAATGTCCTAGCTGAAAACGAGTGACTATGATACCCTAAAATAGTAATGCAGGGACTCCAAATTACAGTTGACAAGAGATCCATGCAATATACTCTTCTTAAATATATTTGCATTATTACTTAGAATAGAATACATCTTAAAGTTACAATACTTTATTGTACTCTAAGTTACTGAAGAATAAAGATTGAATGATAAATATTTTTTATTGCTCTTACCACCTAAACCACCACACCCTTCAGATACTCAATGAATGTTGAGAACAAACAATCTGAACATTTTCTTACCATAACAAGTTAAATAAGACTTCCATAATTTCTATACCTGCTTTTTATACTTTGAATAAGTTTTTAAAAATTAAACTTTTTTCTCATGATATTGAGCATCATTCTTATATTAACTTTAGTTTTTGCCCAGTATCTTATTCCATACCTCAAGAAAAGGGTATTAACGATTTAAAGTACCAGGAAACCCCTAAGCATATGAACGATCCTTGCCTCTAAATAACCACAGAATATATCCTATCATGTTTACTGCTGTTACCCAACTTGGAACCCAATCAGTATCTGACCTAGAGTACTGTTATCTTCCTCTATATTTCTTGCAGTTTTCTTTCTCTTATCTGCTGACAGGCAAATGTGACCATGCCTGATTATAAATACCAGGGAAAGAAAATAATCAGTAATAGGATGGAATAGCACTAGTACAATAGTACTCCCAAAGTAGCATGAGAGAAAAAAAGAAAAAAAGCAAGAAAGAAGAGATGCCTGAAACTGAATTGTGCTATACCACCAAGTATAACATAATAAAAGTTCTATTTTAATGGGATAACTAAGCTTCTAGGCATTTTTACCAGGATGATGAAAATGAATTCATTAAGAAAATACAATCTAAATGCCTCAAACGAATAACCATTACATTTCCATAAAGTACCCACAAAATATGGAGCTCTGAAGAAACATTAAATCTTCTACTTGTTTAAAGAAGTTCTTTAATTAAAAGTGAAAAATCCACAAAGTTCATTTGAGACTGTAAATTCTCTTCATTCTAGCTGTCTAACGGTTACAGGATAAACTTCAAACACTTACACATTACCCAGAAGTCCTTTATTATCTGACTCCTAAATGCCTTTCTAACCCCACTATGTCCTCGTATACAACCCTTCTTGCCTACGCTTATAAGTAGTTAGTTCTTCAAATGGTAACAGACTCTTTTCTTGCTTTATCTTAGCCCATACATTTGCTTCTCTCTGCCGAAAATGTCCTTCCCTCTTTCTTTCACCTCGGCAACTTCAACTCACTTTCAAAATAGAGTATACAGTGTTTTCTTTCTATGTTAAAGTTACAGTCTTGGTTTTCTCTGAAAAGAGATCAGATCAATATAAAAGAAAAAAAGAAACTTAAGCTGAATGCTAAGAAATTTCTAACTCAAGGACTGAAAAAACTAGAGCATATAAACAAAGAGCTTGTATAATTATATAAATAGTGTTACTTGGATACATCTGGAAATTTAAAAAGTGGTCAAAATTTAAAACATTTGGTTAAGGCCTCCCTGACCTTAGTCTCTTTCTTTTCTACCTTATTCCCTAAACTAATGGTAAAACCACTCAAAAAGCACAAATTTATTCATCTCAACTGCTTAAAAATCTCTAATAGTTCTCTAATACCTAGATAAAGTACAAATATTATATATTACGACATAAAAGATTCTTTACAATCTAATACCAACCCACATTTCTGGATTCTACTCCTATCAATTATATTTCATTATTCTGTAAAGTACTACATTAATTCATTTATTCCAAAAACTTATTGTTCTTTTATCAGTAGTCTTTCACATACTACTTTTTCTGCCCAGAAAACTCCACTCTCTTCCTACCTGATGTTATTTGACTTCTCCTTTAAGGCTCAGCTCAAACAGCATCTCCATTGGAAGGCTTCCAAGATTCCACAAGATAGAGTATTTGAATCCACTTATGAGCTTGCACAGAATTTTGTACATACTCTAACTGATAATACTACATGTTTATGTGTCTACCTGCTTTTACAGATTAGAGCTAGAAGGAAGGGGATATGTTATTATTCCTAACTTGGAGTATACAATCTGACTTATAAAGTAATTAAAAAAAACATTCATTTAGACATCCAATTATATCAAGTTATTTGATATAACTGTTGAAACTTCTAAAATGCATTAAGACTTCCAGTCAAGATGGTGGCACAGGCAGCTCTGGCTCTCTCTTTGTACAACTACATCAAAATTACAACGAAAATATAGAACAACCATGACTCAGGAACATCAGAAATGAGCTGAATGAAGTCTGACAACTACAAAATGGAGCTGAATGGAAGTCTGACAACTACAGATTAAAGAAACTTCATTCATCCAGACTAGTAGGAGGGGCACAGAGGCAGAACGGGCTGGTCCCATACCCATGTGTGGTGAATAAAAATTCCAGAGATATCTCCTGGGCAAGGAATCCCAGTCCCACCCACATCAGGACCACCAACCCAGGGTTCCAGTGACACAAAGATAAGTCCTCACAACTCCTGGCTGCAAAAACCAGCGGGGATTGAGTTGGTGGAAGAACTCCTGGAGCTCCAAGCAGTTCTTTTTAAATAAACCACCACCAACTTCCTCGGACTCACTCCCTCTGAGCTTCGGCAAGAGGATAGCAGCCTGAAAGGCACGAGTGGCATGCTGAGAGAAATGCTGAAGTGTCTGGCATCAAGGCAAGCAGAGGCCATCGTCCCTCTTCTAAACCCTCTCCAAACAGAGACAGAAAGCTCATAAGCTGGAGCCCATATCTGACACTCTGTTGACCTGGCTAACAGTGTTTCAGCTGCCTTGGAGATGCCCAGAGACTCCGCCCCACCCAACTTAAGAGCATACCCAAGCTGGTTTTCCATATGAACACCACATCTTAGATCATACTGCACAACTTCTTAAATCTTCCCAAATAAGCTGGCCTCAGTGAGCCCCAGGCCTGGAACTAGCACAGCTTGTCTTCTTCACCTGGGTGTCTCCAAGCCTCACACAAGCACCACCACCTCATATAGCTTTATAGCTCAGGCAGGGTGGCCTGAGGCAAAACACAGGTGGGGGCTGACCTTGACCTGAAATACCTGGGAGACCCCAGGCCCAGCACACCCAGTGAGTGGACAGCTACAGAGCATGTCTGAGCACCAACACTCTCGCCCTGCTCAGCTGATCCTCCACAGAAGGTAGAGGTTGGTGGTAAGTGGTCACAGTCAATCCTTGCAGCTGACTGGCCTAGGTAAATCCCTCCCACTGACCTGCCAACAGCAACCAAGTCTCAACTACAAGAAGAGGGTTTACTCAGCCCACACTAAGGGTGCACCTCAAGTACCCACTTGGGTGTTAGGGGAGGCTGTGCCACTGGACCCTGCAAGACACCTACTGTATTAGGCCACACTACCAAGATATGGAGTCAAAGAAGCTTTCTACCTAATATGTGGAAACAACACAGGGAGGCTGCCAAAATGAGCAGACAAAGAAACACGGCCCAGATGAAAGAACAGACTGAAACTCCAGAAAAAGAGCTAAACAAAATGGAGACAAGCAATCTATCAGATGCAGAGTTCAAAACACTGGTTATAAGGATGCTCAAGGAATCTGGTGAGGACAACAGCAGCATTAAAAACATCCAGTCAGAATGAAGGACACACTAAAGTGGAATAAAGAACCCTTCACAGAGAAACAATAGTAAGGTGGATAAAGCTGAGAATCAAAGCAATGACTTGGAACACAAGGAAGCAAAAAACCATCACGTAGAACAAGAAGAAAAAATAATCCAAAAAAATGAGGATAGTATAAACGGCCTCTGGGACAACTTCAAGAGGTTCAACATGTACATTATGGGGGTGTCAGAAGGAGAATAGACAGCAAGCAAGAAATTGGAAATTTATCTGAAAAAATAATAAAAGAAATCTTCTCTAATTTGGGGAAGGAAATAGACATGAAGTCCAAGAAACACATACAATCCCACTTATGATGGGTCAAAGAGGCCTACTCCAAGACACATCATAATTAAAAGGCCAAAGATCAAAGATAAAGAGAGACTTAAAAGTAGCAAGAGAAAAGAAGTTAGTTTCCACATGGTTGCCAGGTGGGAGTGGGGGAGGGAGAGAGTGGGTGAAGAGGTGAGGGGATTAAGAAGTATAAATAAATAGTTACAGAATAGCCATGGGGATGTACAGCATAGTACAGGAAATGGAGTAGCCAAAGAACTTATACACATGACCCATAGATCTGAACAATGGTCGGGGGACTGCCCGAGGGAGTAGGGGGCACTAGGTGGAAAAGGACAAAAGGGTAAGAATTAGGGCAGCTGTAATAGCATAATCAGTAAAATGTAATTTAAAATAGATTTAAATTTTTAGATCGTTTTACCTAAAATAAAGGGTTTTTTCCCTTCTCTGTGTGTATTAACTACTTTAACTATCAATACATGAGTTGTATAATTATTCTATTTAAATTTAGTGGAAATCTTACAAAAATATCCCTTTAGTCTAAATATGTAGAAATACTCACTTCTATATTTGGCAGAGTTATTGTCACCTGTTCTCCTTTGCCGACCTCAAGCTCTCCTTCACAAGAAGTGTCAACAGAAGCAGGTTTGAAGTCATCTAAAACCAGATACAGATACAGATTTTTATAAGATGGGACAACAGCTGAATATCTGGATATCAAAGTATGAGCATGTTTCAGACTGATAAATTGTTTTTCAACAACCAGTAATTAAAATGGTTTAAAAAAAATCTTTATATCACAAACACACAAACAAAATCTAGCTTACTTCTATTATGTATAATTCTGAGAAAAAAAGAAGCCGCTACACTCTAAAACAGTATTCTTCAAACCATGCTCCCTGGAATCCTGTTTATATCAATATGAACTAGACTACACTGTTCCGATGCTACAAACTAAATAATGTCAATGTTTTCACAATGGGTAAAAGCTGAAATTAATAAAATCTTTTCAATTTTCAGTCCTGTTCTCCCATAATTCTTTTAAGCCATCATGGGTGCCTACTACTACTTATTTGCTGCCTAGCAGAATGCAAAATAAATTAATACATGGCAAACACATATTCACAGGGAAACTTAAGAAAAAGCATTCTTATTTAGTTTAACAGCTTGAGTTTTTCATGGACATGTACACCACTACAGGATGTATAAATTTAACCATATCTGCCACTTCAGAAGAACTTCAAATAGTTGTCATATTGAGTTAAATTGTAATTTAAATGATGTCATTAAAATATATCACCTAGAAGGAATTTAGGGTGCTGAGATATACTTCACATGCTGAACAGGCTTAAAAACCTCTAAGATATGAAAACCACTTAAAAATAATTCACATCAATATATGGGGTCCAGCAGAAGTAAGGCCTGCTTGAGTGTGGTTGTTAGGACAATAATATGGGTGTGATAATTTATTATTTTAATTTAAACATTTTACCTAAAATGTCATATGGAGCACTTGAGTGTGATATTGTTACATTACACAATTCCATGCTTATGATTTTGTATTAAAAGATTTTGTAATAAAAAAGGGGCATTATTTGTGCTGGACCTGGTATATCAATGACTGATACTTCAGATATAGAATCCCTTGGGTTATATTTATTTTCTCTAGGTTGCCTCTTTATTAAAATATAACATACATGCAAAATAGAACATAAATAATAAGTCTGATGAATTTTCACAAAAGGGACATGTATATAATCAGCAACCAGATTAAGAAAAAAACAGCCTCTGTTGGAAAGGTTCCTTCCAATGACCTCAACCTCAAGAGATTTATCATAAAAGTAACAGGGAAGCACCAAGGCAAAAAGTCTGAATCCAAAGTAATAAATATTTATTAGTGAATATTAGGGAGCTATACTAGGCAATCTTGGGAAAGGAGAATCTTCTAAGTGCTCATCAAATCATCATTCCCCCAATAAACAAAGGTTGACCCTCTTCACAATCACAGTTATAGTACCTAACACTTATGTAACACTTATTATATGCCAAGCACCTTGCTTAACAGTTCATATTTAATTCTCATAACAACTCTATGAAAAGAAATAAAATCCATTCCTCTATTCCTTAAACACCATTCTAAGTATTCTTTATAATATGGTTTATTCTTCATGCTGGTTTAATTCAAACTTAATACATACAATAACAGTCCCTTCAAATCTTGATACTTACAGATTTTAAGAAAAAGTTTATAAAATAATATAAGCAATAGAGGAACCTGGTGAGGACAACAGCAGCATTAAAAACATTCAGTCAGAAATGAAGCACACACTAAAGTGGAATAAAGAACCCTTCACAGAGAAACAATAGTAAGGTGGATAAAGCTGAGAATCAAAGCAATGATTTGTAACATAAGTAAACAAAAAGCAACCATGCAGAACAACAAGAAGAAAAAATAATCCAAGAAAATCAGGCTAGTTGTCCCAGAGGCTTCTGGGACAACTTCAAGAGGTTCAACATGCATGTCACAGGGGTGCCAGAAGGAGAATAGAGAGCGAGCAAGAAATTAGAAAGCTATCTGAAAAAATAATGGAAGAAATCTTCCCTAATTTGGTGAAGGAAATAGACATGCAAATCCAGGAAGCACACAAGTCCCAAATAAGATGGATACAAAGAGGTCCACTCCAAGACACAGCATAATTACAATGCCAAAGATTAAAGATAATGAGAAAATCTTAAAAGCAACATGAGAAAATAAGTTAGTTACCTACAGGGGAGTTCCTGTAAGACTGTCAGCTGATACCGCAAAAGAAGCTTAGCAGGCTAGAAAAGACTGGCAAGAAATATTCAAAGTCGTGAAAAGCAGGGACCTACAGCCAAGATTACTTAACCCAGCAAAGCTATTATTAGACTCGAAGGGCAGATAGAGCTTTCCACACAAGAAAATTAAAAAATTAAAGTTCATCATCACCAAACCTTTCTTATATGAAATGTTAAAGGAACTGATTTAAGAAAAAGGTTAAGATCAAAACTATAAAAAATAAAATGGCAAAAATCCTTATCTATCAACAATTTAATCTAAAAAACAAACTAATCAAAGAAGAAGAACAGAGACAGAGTCATGGATAAGAGAGCATTTTGATGGTCTCTGGGTAGGAATGTTGAAGGGAATGAGTGAAGAGGTGAGGGGATTAAGAAGTACAAATAGGTAGTTACAGAATAGCCACGGGGATGTAAAGTACAGTATAGTAAATGGAGTACACAAAGAACTTACATGCATGATCCATGGACATGAAAAATGGTTTGGGGATACTAAGGGGTGCCAGGTGGAGGGGGCAAAGGAGGAAAAATTGGGACAGCTATAATAGCATTAACAGTAAAATGTAATTAACAAAATAAAAAAGCATATAAGAGCAAAAAACAATATAAGCAATATGAAAAATGTGAGTTTGTTACAATGTACCCCTAGGTAGTAAGACTGAGTATAAAGATCAGACAGAAGATAAAATGAAGCATTTGTTAGTATTAGCAAGGTAATCATAAACATGAAAGATAATTAAGGTGTTAAATTTTAGATGCTTGAAAGAGGTTTTGGAGAAAGGTTTTGGAGAGGTCTTAGAGAAATAACTGTTACTGTCAACTGATGAAATAACTTTAAAGAGAAAAATCAGAACTGAGCCTGAGTGTCACAGAGTTCTGAACAGAAAGTAGAAAGCAGAAGAAAAGGCAGATAAACCCAAGAGAATGAACCAAGATATAAAACAAAACAATAATAACAACAGCTATAACTTATGTGGTAATTAGTTTGTTTAAAAAATTTTCCTGTTCCTTATAAGTTTCACAATAATTCTATAAAGCAGTGAATATCCCTATCTTACAAATAAGGAAAGTGAGGGTGTAAGAAATTAAGTCCTTTGCCCAAGATTATGCAATTAGTATCTGCTAAAGCTAGAATAAGGAACCACAAAATCCAGCTAGAATAAAAAGATGAGAGCTTGGCCAACAATCTCTGCTGTCAGTTTCATTGATATTAACATCTACCAATGGGGAGAGAAGATAGCTGTGTGTTCTTTTATAATAGCTTTTCAGAGATTTCTTCCATTCTTGCCTAGGACAAAGTAGTTTCCAATCAACAAAAGGCTAAACTAACGAAGTACCTAAGCCTGCCCTTTGGCTTTTTCCTGTGCTTTTGCTCTTAGAATTGGAATCCTATTTCAAGTTCCCTCTTCCCTGAAGGGGTAGATGTGTTTAGGATTTTCCATACTTTCCAAAATCTCAGTTCTTCTCTGTATTTGTAGCATTTACCATATCATTCATCAAAACCTGACATATTTTACCTAAAATTATTTCACTCTTTGTGAACATGTCCTAATGAACTGTAATTTTTAAAGCACAATGCCTCATACTTTAACTCCACCACAATTGTGGCTCCTAGCACAATGCCTTTAATATAGTTTTGATTTGAACATTTCACCTAAAATGTCATGTGTTGAACTTGAGCGTGATATTGTTATGTTACAGAATTACATACTTATGATTTGGTAATAAAAGACTTTGTAATAAAAAAGTGGATGATGTTTGTGGTGGACCCTATATTTGTTAAACCTTCTCTGAACCACCTCCAAACTTATTTTTAGGTATAAACCAATTTAAGTTAAATTATGTATAGAAGCTTGTTTTTTAATCATTTCCTGAGGATTAGATTCACCTTTACTTCAAGACCGCAGTCTCTTTTTTTCTCTTTTTAGTAATTTAATGTTTTATTTGAGAAAACTAGGTAAAGGTCAAATACACCCCCCCACCACCACTCCACCCAGAAAACAAAGGAATGCACTAATAATAAGGTACTAATCTTTTTTTCACAGTAAAAATAAATTATATAAACTTTAAGCTCTTAATTTATATACTTTATTTACTACCTTTTATATGTCATACATGGTCATTGAAGGAAAAAGACCTAAAATACACATTTATAATGAGATGATACATCCTCTTCTCGCTCCAAAAGAATGATGTTAATATAAACAATTATAAATTTCAGATAAATGAATAGGCTATATTCTGTAAATGTTAATTTGTTACATAACTGTTATGTAAATATTATCTCACTAGTTTTCAAAATATCTTAACCGAGTCAACTTTTCCTTATGCCTCAGTTTTCCTGTTTATAATTTAGGAACTTATTTCTTTCTGTTGATTTACCAGAAATTAAGACATTTTGCTAATAAGAACTATCCTCAAAATCTTACCAACAAAGCAAGATTATCGTTTCTTTATGGTAGATATTGACATATTTCTTTTGTACTTTTCACTAGCATGATTCTGTTCCCATTAGAAGGCACCCATTACATAATATTTGACAATAAAAAATTCTCTATAATAGGTAAAACATTAGAAATTACATCCTAGAGTAAAACCATGGCTCTCTGATCTCCCATGTTTTTCTGACACTGACACAAACGACAACACTGAGAAGGTATGACTGTCATTAGACTACACCTAAATAATCCTTTGAAGTCAGAAAGGTAACCCAAAGCAGTGAAGCAGCAGACCAGCGGGAACCACAGAGACCCAGAGAATGGGTAAATCCAATCTCAAGAGACAACTATAACTTGGCTCCAGCCTATTGCTGCCAAAAAGAATATGGTCTAGGCATTGCC